TTACACTTGATTAAATCAACATTAAAAGATAGCCAGCTGCTGCGTGTAGCCATAGACAGAGGTGCTGCTTGAAAAGGGAACTTGATCTTGAGGCTTTAAGCCTAGGACTCAACGGGCAGCGTACAAAGTTTGTAGTAGCAGTTTGAGAAATGTAACCTTCCTAAGGCAACCCCACCTGAATCCACGCTGTCCCTTTGCAAGTGCATGATTCTGTTATAGAGAAAAAACACGTAAGAAAAAATAAAGAGGAGTTATCCTTCTGAGGGTGAACAGAGACAGGAAAAAATGGTGGTGAGTGATAATAACAACTGCTAATGCTAATGCTAGATAACTCAGTGCTGCTACTCTAACCTGAAATGTGGGGGAGGAAACTTGAATAATGTAACTTCTGCTGGCTTAGCTATTTAGCTAGCAGAGCGTAGTCATGAGACCAGCAGCAGACTTGTTAAACTGAGGGCAGGCCCTGTGAACATTTATCTAGCGTCCACACTAACTGTAGCATTGCCATTGACCATAGAGCGTATAAAGCATGCTTGTTGCTAGCGGTCTGGACAAACGAAGCCAATGCTGAAGTGTGTTTAACCTGCACTTTAACAGAAGGCGGTCAGATTGCGGTAGCTGTGGAGACACACCTCAAGACTTCAGAAACCAACGAATGACGTCCAACCTTTATATTGTTCCTGGTTGTGGCTTTATGATAAAAATAAACAGTATAAAATGTGGGTTTTTGTCACCTATTAGCTTTATTTAGCCCTTTTTTAAAGTATGAGAGTTAGTTCTTCAGCTGTCACCATGCTGCCTTTTTGGAACCAGGAGTTGCCATATTTGGCAAAAAGGGTTGCATGCTGTTTTCCCAGCTAACATTAGAAAGCTTGCTTAGCAAGCTGCTGCTACAAACTGTATGTCTGAAATGCACAGACTCAGTTAAACAATACTCAGTCCTTATACTGATAAATAACTGACTAATAAAACACTAGAATAAAACTGAAGTGCAAACTTTTTGCACTTTCTGTACCACACAGGGAGCCGTAATATTGGTCAGATTACTCAGCTGAAAAGCTCCAAAAAAAACACCAAGAGCACAAATCAGTTCATTCCCTGAACGGATGGTTGGAGTAAACTAAGTCTGCACTTCGTTAATGCTCGAAAACCCCTCCAATATACCTGAACTAAAACAATTCTGCACAGAAGAGTGGGACAACAGTCCTCCACAGTCATGTGAAAGACTGGGTGCCAGTGATCACAAAAGTTTTATTCTTTTAAATTAAATCATGATTTAAAAACTGCATTTTGTATTTCTTCGTCTTTATCTTTGTCTAATATAAAAATGTCTTTAATGATCTGAAACATGTAAGTGTGACAAATATGCAAAAAAAGAAAACCTCAAGATGAGGAAAAATAGTTTTTGCACAGCACTGTGTGTGGCATGTTCTTTCATAAAGAATAAATTATGTTTGTTTATATGAGTAAATAAGAGCATGGGTAATTAAACCAGCCTTAGAGCTTATGGAACTAACAGCTAGATTTCTGTAACTAATGGGCTTCATATTTCTCTACTTTGTCGTAAACAGTCTAATTTAACAAAAAGTAATCTGGTTTTTTTTTCATATATATACATATATAAAAAGAAAAGAAGTGATTTTTTTGGGGCCCTGCAGATGTGAACGCTGCGCTCTGATAACTCACAGGACGAACTGTTACAGTGCATATGTTCATTCATGACTGCATCTCTGCATCTCGGTCGCATCAGACTGTTTTACCTTGACAGCTAGAAGTGCACGAGCAGTGATTGATCGAGGCGGCGAAGATTCCTGCCAAGAAAAAAAAAAAGGCGAGGGGAGCTGAAAACGAAGAGGAGGCTGATGAAATGAAATGATGAAACAGATGAGGTTTAAATCAGAATATTTTTATGCTGGCGCTCGGCGGGAATTCCTTACTTCAACTTCCCAGAGTGCATTGCTGTGTGGCCTTTTCAATAATGTAAAGGGGGGACAGACAAGAGATAAAATGAGAGAGGAAACGATTTCCTGGCACTGTGGGAGCCCCCTCTGTGACATTTACCTCTAGTGGCACCCTCAATGTGTGTGTGTGTGTGATGGCCCCGTGCCACACTAATGATGCCCCCCTCTGCCACGCACAGTCGAAGCACAAAACTCTCCCGCCAGCGATGCCACACGTGTCCTTTAGAGTCACACTGGAAGGAAAGAAGGAAGGAAGAAGGAGGTAATAGCCAAGATGGAGCGTGGAGGGGTTGAAAAGGAATTGTGCGAACAATATTTCCATCCACAGATGGAGCTGAGGAGGAGCACAATAGAAGGGCGACAAATAAAAGGAAGAGAAAAGGTTAGCGGCGAGAGGAGGCCGCTTTTGTCAGCGAATGGCAGAGAAGGAGCAAAGGGGGGATCGCCTCGTGCGATCTATCAGCTCCACCTGTTACTATTTCATACTTCATTAAGCGTCTCTCCTATTTGAAGCGGCGGGTGGTGTTCTCCGTCTTCGCGGGGTGTCCCCTACCCCCCACCTGGACACATGGCATCTCATTACCTCTCTGCTCCAGCTCAGGGCCTGCAGAATGTCACACAGCTGGAGTACGAGCTCTGAAGATAGATGAAACAGAAAAACCCTCTGAATGTCTTTAAAAAGACGGAGCCTACTGAGAATGATGTGTTTGCCTGGCATTATTATCCTGTTGCAAGGTCCACCTTCGGTTCAGCGGAAGCACTCGGACAGATGGCGTCACGTATGCTCCGAGCGCTCTTTGATGTTGACCGCAGACCGAAGAATTGTTGACCGCAAGCCGAACGATTTCTGAGGCAAATTTTCCCACCTCACGATCGGTGTCTGATTCTTGTGCTGAAAGGCTGTCTTTGATTAGTTAATCCCATTGATCCAATAACCAGATCGCCTCTGCTACATCAAATATAGGCGTTTCTTTCTGATTGCAGATGCATGCACTTTGACACCAAATCTAACAGTTATCTGCAGATCTTCTGTCGGGGTTTTTAGACACTTTGTTTTTCTCACGCTGAATTTCCTGTGGTGGCCAGTGCTGTTTGAAATTTGCACCGCTTTTAGACGGTGAGTCTCAGAGTGACATTATTTGGTTCAACTGTCAGACTCGTCCACAACCACAACCAGTGGCAAAATGTAGTGACGGTGTAGGCGTAGGGCGGTTGCAGCTTCGATGGTAAAGCGGGTCATCTACCAAATGGAAAGTCCCCGGATCCTCCTGTCCATGTGTCAAAGCATCTTTGTGCTGTGGTATCTGCACCGAGATGTTAGCAACAGATCCTTTAAATCCTCTCAGCTGCGAGGTGGAGCCTCCATTGATCAGATTTGTTTGTCCAGAACGACCAAAATAGACAGTCCTTTAAACAAGATGTTAGTTAACCTAATGTTTGCTTATGAAAAGTTCCTTAAAAATGATTTTAAAACTAGAACTCAGTCAAGGCGTAGATCCCTGGGTGGCTCGGTTGGGTACAATCACCTAAAACATGAAAGATCTGTGCTTTCAGACTGTGAGAGAATCTCTGGGAGGTTTGCATCAGGAAGGGCATCCAGCTTAAAAAGGATCTGTGAAAATCAAATACATTGATCTACCTCCACAACGACTAAAAGTTATAAAGTTAGCATCTTCTCCTGCTAATCATTCAGTGTGTACTTCAAGATAAAGCTGGTTACTCCTGGTTTTAGTAGCATGATCTGCAAATTTAGCCCAGTCTGTTTTTACCTTTGAAGCTGCCTGGAGCCACTGTCTGCAGTAACTGCGCTGCAAACTTCATGCAGTCGCTGAAGAATGTGCTGGGTGTGGTAGCGTTAGCTTAAATCCTTAGCATCCAGGACAAAAAAGGCTTTAAGTGCAGAGGCAGACTTTACCTGTGAAACTAAGCACACCGCATGTGATGTACTTACTCCCAAACCCCCTTTTTGCGTGGCAGGAATTTAAAAGCCTAACAGGCGAGCTGCGGCTTGCTTACAAACAGCTGCCATTCAAGCGGTGAGATTTAAGGAGCAGGTACTTCCACGTGAATGTGAAACTCCACTGAATTGCAAAGTAGAAAACCTGCTGAACGGATGGATGATTTCTCAATTCCTCAAATTCCTTAATTTAAGAAAGTACACACAATGAAAGGATTTGTTTTAATATCACAAATTCAATGGACACAAATTCATAATGCTGTCCTGAATTCATCCAACTAATACTGCAAACAGAAATATATTTTAGTATCCTCATAACAAAGAAAACAACTTTTACAACTCGGTCATTATCTGACTCGGTCACGTCTCAAAGATGACTCGGTGTCAGGAGCAGATGAAAGGAGGTCACAGCTCTGTGTCGTTGTTTGTTTACGCAGAGGGGAGAGGCGGCTGACTGGTCCGCTAAATCACCTCCCTGCCAGCGGTGGTGACAAACTACCAAATGAAGTGAGAAAGTGAAGGCTCTGTCACAGATTAGGGCTGCCAAGAGTTTAAAAAGAAGACTGAGAAAACCTGGAGACGGACAGAAAACCAGCGACGAGTCTAGCTGATAAGAAAAATAATCCGGACGCCACAGATGTGCTCTGTGCTCATCTGCATTCAAACTTTGCAGCTTTCACTGCTTTATAAACTGCATTGTGAGGTAAGACTGTGAGTCATAAATCGTTATAACAACACACATATAAATGCTCCAAACCTTAGAGGTCTGGACCCTGCAAGGAGTCACAACAGTAATATCACAGCTGGGTTAAAACATTTGCTCATCTGTACTGCAGTTCATTTTTTAAAATCTCCCCAGTTTTTCACAGTTTTCAGAGCTAAATGATACTATAATACCATAATAATGGTCTGAAATTAGACTTTACATCTAAGACAACTACCAAAAGAAAAACAAAAGGTGGGGTTGCAAGCCCAGAGAAGAGCGCTGACTCTCCTTGTGCAATGCTGACCTCGTGTGGATCACACGCAGCACTGCGACCCAGTGGCTTGGCTCATATTAAAAGCAGCACTTAAAAGGCAGTGTGAGCGCTCCTTTCTGGGCCTCCTTAATTCTGTGACTCCTGCCTGGTAGCTGCAGCCTGCCTCAGCAGCAGTTCTCTAGCCAGATCCGGCCTGCCGATCTTGGCCAAGTAGCGAGCGAGCAGAGAGGCCTTGGGTTGGTTCGGGACGGCGGGCAGCCCTCTCCTCCACATGGCCAGGATGGTGAAGGCACGGGAAGAGAGGCCGCCGCTCCCGGCTCGGGTCGTCACCAGCTGAGCGGTGCTGCGGCAGAGTCGCAGGGAGAGCGCCAGCAGGGCCGTTTCCTCCTCTGAGAGCTCCTCGGACAGCCAGAGAAGAAGAGAGTCTGAGAGGGAACCTGGTTGGATGGGCAGGTGATGGATAAATGATGCATTTTTTAGTATCTGGAGCTGAGACAGCATTAAAGAGTGTGGCAAAGAGACAATGAATGGATCGTGGAGCAAGCAAGCAGAATTTCACCCACCTGTGTCCTCACAGAACTTCACCTGGGCTGTAATGGGCCGAGTAAGGTTTCTCACTTTCTAAAATGACATAAAACAGTAGCATTCTTTTATTTGAGTCTTTTACATGAAGCATAATGTTTCATTTTTGGGGGGTGAGGGGGTGAGGGGGTGAAGTCAGACCTTTACCTTGGGTAAAGTCAGAGACAGCTTACAGACGGGATCTCCCAGAAGCTTCGTGTCCTTCAGGACAGCTTTGTCATCCCGCCACTCCAGCTGACCTCTGGTGACCTTATAAAATATGGCTGTGCCCTTGTAGTGAGGAGAGCTGTAGTTTCCAAATAGGTCCACCTCAGTCAGATGCACTAAGAGGTGATTCTTCCTCTGGCTGTGGAAGGTGATGCGCTCATGCGTGGCTTCATTTTTGTTGGTTTGAGCAGCGGCTGCAGAAAAATAAATATGCACACATTTAAAAAGAGGCCTGATGCAATTATATGAAACTGCTTTACTAACTGAATTTGATGCTAACTGAATTTTCTAGGTTATGTTTGTAACATTTTCCTGTATTAAACTTGTTTACTGCCAGTTTTTGAACAGAGGGTAAAGTCACTTAAAACTTAGACCTTAGGGCTGACTTGTTGGACTCTGAAGTGCCTCTCCTTTGTTCCCTGACACATCTAGATAACAAGCAACTTCAACTCAGGCTAGCTTAGAAAAGGACCAAGCGGCCAACAAATGAGCTCCCAGTGCAACTCAGACTTCAAAACAAACCTCACATAAAAATAGAAACATATCTGAGTTCAGATGGGTTCAGATGATATTTTAAAAGCAACAGCGTTACCTTAGCTTGGGTCCTCACTATTTGCTATGTTAGGTAGCAAGTGATTTGTGTGAGTAGGTAAGCTAATGCTAGCCAACATTAGCCAGAAGAAAGACAGTTTTATCAAGCAAAGCCATGGAGAAAGTTAGGGCTGTGGTGTATAAAGACAGTATAATAGATGGTCTTAAAAGTGAAGTTCATTAAACTGCTGCTCCTGCTTTCAAAAGGATTCTCCGTGCTGTAGAAGTCTATCCCTCGGACTTGACTTCAGTTACGTGATACTTACTAACAATGATTCCATTTTGCAAATTTTGGTTAAAATGGAGAGACGTTTATGGGAAAATGGCCTTTCAGCTCCACTGTACTATGACCTCATTAAACACTTTAATGAGACCGTGGCCTCAGTAACTAGTTTCAGGTGTTATTGAACAGAACATGATTTTAATTTTATAAAGTGAACCAAACTTTTCCTTTGGGGTTGTGTCAAGAAGGGCATCTGGCATAAACCTGCCAAATCAAACGTGGAGATGTTTGTGGCGACCCCCTCGTAGCATGACAGCAGCCAAAAGTAGATTTAAATATTCAATTTTATTCAATTTAATTCAAATTTATTTATATAGCGCCAAATCACAACAACAGTTGCCTCAAGGTGCTTTATATTGTAAGGTAGACCCTACAATAATACATACAGATAGAAACCCAACAATCATATCACCCCCTATGAGTAACCACTTTGGCGACAGTGGGAAGGAAAAACTTCCTTTTAACAGGAAGAAACCTCCTACAGAGCCAGACTCAGGGAGGGGCGGGGCCATCTGTAGCGATCGGTTGGGATGAGAGAAAAAAGACAGGCTAAAAGAAGTGCTGTGGAAGAGAGACAGAGTTTAATAATAAGTGATGATTCCATGCATAGTGAGTGAAAAAATGACCGAAGAAGAAATACTCAATGCATCATGGGAATTAAAAGCTAGGACGGAGTAGGGTATACTGGGGCGGGCCTATATCATGATTGACATTTACAAGATTCTACAGTATGAGCACGTAGCGTCGATAAGATCCACCTTTTGCTTGTCTCATCCAGTTTTAAAATATCAAATACACACAGCAAGTCCATCTTTTGTATACAGTCTACTATATATATAGATATACATTTTAACCATTTATTTTTTAAATGTTTTAAAGCCAGTAAGTAAACATGTGTTTAACATCGAGTAATCTATCTATCTCGTCCAGTTTCAACACACCAAGACGGCGTAAACACTCATCTGGAGGCTTCTAAACAGGCAGTATCCCCATCTTTTGTACTGTCTGCTGTATTGTACCGTGGGAAACAAAAGAGGAAACATAAGAGTGTTGTACTGTTGAAGCATTCAGCTGGCTGTACAAACATATCATTCATCCACTTTATTATGTGGTTACTGTCTTACGTGGTGACCAGGGGATGGAGGCTAAACCGGTTTAGACCTGGTGCTGCAGCAACTGTTTCACATTTCCCAGTATATCTTTCTTTTTTACTGCACTAGATGTGCAGTGCTCCAGCTAACCACGCAATAACAATAGCGTACAAGGATTTGCACTTTTAAATCGAGGCCTTTTTCAGTGTCACGCGCGTCCAGCCAAAGTAAACAGGCCTCTTTTAATAAGAACAATGACAACACAAGAGTGAGCAGCTGTGTTTGAGGCTCACGGAGCTAAAAGTTGAACATCGGGATTATTTTTCTAACAAATAAACAAAAAACCAAACAAGCAAGTTAAGCATGTATGATGTTTAGAGTGTTCACTATGATAGATAAAGCTGATTATTTTTTCAGATTCACTGATAGAAACCATTGAATTAATTAATGAATTAAAATAAATGATGACCCAATCCTTGATGAAAAGCCAACATTAGACCCGTGAGAAGCATAAATGTATAAAAAGATGAAGATTCTCTTGTGTTTCTTTTGTCAGCTTATAATTATTTTCCTTATACCACGTATGAAGCTTCTGTAGGAGAAGCCAGTGAGCCAGCTTCACACTTTACCTGTGCAGGTGATGTTGCCGGTGAAACGCAGGAGAAGCTGATCTGCCTCACGCATCGAGATCTCCGAGGAGGTCTCCACCGGGTCGCTGTAGCCCTGAGCTCGCAGCCTGTGCAGCTCCCAGCTGAGGTCTCTGCCGGGCACAACGGCCACCAGGAGGGCGCGAGGCTCGTCTCGGCTTCGCAGGAGGACGACGGTGACGGCGTGGCAGCAGACCGACTCCTCCAGCTCCTCGGCCAGGCAGGCGAGGTGACAAGGGCGCAGCGGGGAGAGGAGACGAAGCACGAGCAGTCTGAGCGGAGAAGCAGACGGAGGACAAGTTAAGGAGTCTAGCTCTGGGGAAAGATTAGATTGCCGCTGAACAGGGAAAAGACTTTGTTATTGCAGGCGGGAATACAGATGTAATAGACTTAAGACAGAATGGAGAATTCATGAAAACCTACTGCACACATTTTTTTTCTCCCCTGAAGAAGCTGTTTTAGATAAGAAAGAAGAGAATTATAACTCGGGATGGAAATGAGAATCCAACGTTATCACAGCTGGGCCTATTCTTTTAAACAGGTGACTAGAGTAAGACTTAATTTTCTCCTTCTTTATAATGTCTTTAGGGGTTTCTTAACACTTTAGTCTTGCCATGCTGTTCATGTGCGTATGCTCTGACACGTTAAAGCCTGGAATCTAAAGCATGTAGCTGCACCCACCCCCCCTTTATCCATGCGGCCTTGCTTTAAGCCCCTTATGTAAAGTAAAAGCTTTCTGTAAGTCTGGTTTGTTGTAGCGTAGTGTAGCATTTATCTTTTGTTTTTTTTTGTTTTTTTTAATGCTGGCACTTAAGACATGGACGTGATGTTGAGAATACATGAAAGGCACCGGTGAGGTACAGCAGAGCCGTGAGTGAGGAAATAATTTGTTTTCTCCTGTTTGAAGCAAAGGAAATGTTAATCGCTCTGGAAGTTAGTGCAACATAACCTCACTAAACCAAATTAACTCGAGGATTGTTGCTTACGTTCGCTGCTGTGTGAGTAAAGCGAAATAAAGAAACATCTGGGTTGTTGAAAAAGAGAAAACATCTGGGAGAAAACGCCTTGTTGATGACAGAGGTCAGCGGACAAGAACAAGACTGCTTTGAGTTGACAGGAAGGCAACAGTAACATCAAATAACCACCCATTACAACCAAGGTGTGCAGAAGGGCATCTCTGAATGTGCTGCACAAAAATGCCATTATATAATATAAATGTATTTCTGCTGCAGGGGTCCCACAGCTGCAAGGTTTTTCCTGCACAGCTGCACAATTTAAGCCTCATCCTGTGTCTCTTACTGTCACTGTGTGGTCAGGGGGACTGTTTTCTACGCCATCTACATGGCTGGGGGACTCCTGATTGCAGCCACTGTTGACTTGGCTGTGAGGACAGCTCATAACCCCGACAACCTGCTGCGCCTGTCACACACTCTCATCAACCTCGTAGGCAACAGGTGTCGAAAATATGTTGTAAGAAAGTCCTTTAAGTCCAGTTCTAATAAGAATCTGCATGCATAGCTACTCTAGTAGAGTCCAAGAGAGCTTTAAACACCACTGATCCCATTTTTAGTTAAATGTACTGCCAAATCAAACAGACTTTTACTCTATTCTAATTATGTGCTCCTTCATATCTTGCAGGTTACGTCTTTGGTAAAACAAAAACTGAAACATCTGCACTTCACTGAGAGGTTCGGGAAAAACTGTTCCTCAGTTTGTGCTGCTTACATATACATAAATGGGACAAATGTACATGTTTTTTAATAGACTTCCACATGTTTCCAGTCTCAGCAGTCTCCTTGACGTGACAAGACTGAGCGAAATTGACTATTTTAAGGTTTTACAGGGAGATCTCGGTTCCCCTGACAATCCAACAAACCTGGAGTCAAAGCCTGCCAACTGGATCTAAAAAAAAAGGTACAAAACGACATGTTTCATGTTTTAGATTTCCTTAAAGACGGCACTGCCTTATTTCTTTTTGCAGTCATTTTCAAATGTCATTTGTTTTGTTCACAGTTTAATATCCCACGTTTGGACGTGTCTACGCTTTTGACTAATACGAAAAGTTTCACTTCAGGTAGCTCTAGTGTGTGAACTTTTGCTCTTCTGCATTCAGGTGCAGAATTTATTACATCTTCCTGTGTTGTTCGAAGCGCCAGCGAATTCTGAAACTGCACATTAGAGCCAACGACATCAGGCTGAAAGCGTTCAGGCCTTCGAATAAACTACAGTGGCTTGTTGAGTTTGGCAGAAAGGCACATGCAAGGGGAGATATAGTAAGAAATGATCACCGTTTACTTGAAATCTTGTTGGAGAATGCTGTTAGGAGCCTGCTTTTGAACACAGTATTATCTTTTTCAGGTATTTATTTTGCTGGATGGACAAACAGGACAAATCGGCCTTGGCTTTGAAAGAAACGATGCTGCAAATGAGCGCCGCCCGACAAGTTTCGCTCTGTGGGTATCTGCTCTGTCCGTGGCTCTGCTTTGGATGCTCCTGCCTCACATTGCTCTTTGTGCAGTGATGTGGTTCGGCTGGAGAGTACGACAATACATCAGCTGAGTCAGCCGCTGTCACAGAGATGCTAATCTACCGTAACTCTTAACGAATAGGCTCAAACTTCTTCGTGCAACCTCAAATCGTTGCTTATCCCTCCAACATGACCGAAAACCATCTTACATTTGGTTTTACCTCCACACAGGTGGCTTCAGAGCTTAAAGTGCATTTCTAATAATTACCAGCACACTGTCTCCTCTCTGCTTCATATCAAATAATAATCACTGCTTATTCTGCAGATCCCATTTATCACTTTATTGTTCCCAACAACTCAAACACCTCTCTACTGGCTTAAAAAAAAAAACCCAATATGTATATATATTAAACGTGTGCAATGTAGACTGTACACAGAAGATGGACAATGGTTGATGTCATGACTACTGAAACTGTACACTCATTGGCTACTGACTTGCCAATCACAAATCATCAGCCAATGAGCCTATTCTAGATAATCCTCCTTTCTGACACTAAATAACTCAAACACAACAGAATTGACGTTTTATTCAAAACCAGTGGCTGATCTCATAAACTCAACAGGAAAATGTGGACATGGGTACAGACAGGAAGCTCACAGACTTGTGGTTTTTCATTTGACATCATGTGAACATTGTTCAGCAGCTGTCTGCCAAAACCTCAATAGGACTGGAAGCCTTTATGCAGTCAGCAGCGTCATGCCTTGGTGCCCATTAAAGTCAGTTCAGAGTTAAGACACTCACTCATTGGCTTCATTTTCCAGTCCCAGGAGGTGCATCCATCTGTTTTATGTATAGTCGATGGCAGACATGTTTTTATTTACCTCCTTGCTGTCCTGCACTACAATTGACTTTGTTGTCTTTTTAAATAAAGTTAAACTGCCTATTTCCATTTGCAGGTGTGATTATTGTAAGAGGAGAAAACGTGGTGGTACAAACCTGTCAAAGTTCTCCATCAGGTCAAAGGACACCAGTCCCTTCTGCAGGCTCCTGACGGTGACTTTATCCATGACACTCCACTGTTTGTCCCTTGAGCCCAGAACAACCAGCGACTCTTTGGACATTTCCTTGGATTTCACAGAGGTGTCCATGAATCTGGCATAGAAACAAAACCTTTTAAGCTCCCTATTTATATGATGCTGTGACACATATATAATATATTTTAGTTCAAGGACATCTGTGTCACCTCAGTCTGTGGGAAGGTGAATGATCCCGTGGGGGAGAATCCCTGACAGGTTGACTTTGTTGGTCTTGTTGGTTCTCTGTTTGTCCCCTTGTTGCTTTCTTTTTTGCAGGATTTGGGGGACATGGAAGTGTGACCGTGAGGGGTCTTCTCAGGGGCCTCGAGGTCGGGTGGGTGAGGTAGAGCAGCGGGCTGGTAGACACCACCGAATGATAGGCGTAATTTCTGGACTTGACAGAAGCCAGGAGCACGGCGTCTAGCGGCTGGATCTGAAGCAAACAAGGAAACAGCTGTTCTGCTTGATTTAGGCAGCAGTTTAGACAAAAGCCGTTTGATATGAGAATTTGTCTATTTTTTCTGTTGTTCTATCAAAAGAGAGCTGTGCAGAGACGGAGGTGGTGGATTTGACGTAAGATCAAGGAACAAACTGCTCGTACACCAGTGTTTGGTCTCAGGAGTCAATTGAGAAATCGGCCACAGCTGTTTGTGCCTCACAGCAAACATCTGTGAAACCTGCAAATCAGAAGCAAGCTTTCTGTTACTTCATCATTTCTCCTCTCTATTTTCATCCGAGTTTTGGAATGATTTCAAAGGCTTCGTCCCAAGGAGCCCTTCCTATCTCTCAATGCCAACCAGACCTCACTTCTGCAACTCTTTTCTTTACTTCTACTGAAAGTAAAGTAGGAGAAAAAGGGGTAATGATCAGGGTATTGTCATACCGTGGTTTGCGCTATTACAGGTGCAGTAAAGGATCCTGGGAGGTAGTTCAGACAAATTCGGGGGTCCATGGGGAGTTTTAGTGACAACCCCTTCCTGGGAATGGTGTAGTTTTCTAGTTTTAAGCAGGAAACCACTGCAAAAAGACCCACAGAGTACACCTTCACCTCTGCAAATGAGCCCTAACAAAGAGAGAAAGAAACCACGGCAAAACATTTGAACAATCTTTCACCAATGAATACGTTTCTGAAAAATAAACTCTACTCAGTGTTTCTATGTTTTTTAGGTTAAGAATAAGTACAATTACAGGAGTTGCAATTGTTACTTTTTTGCACTCATGTAAGATACAGCCACCGTCTTTCATTTCAAAGATTTTACACATTGAGTTATAATACAACAAAAACTTGGCAAGTCTTAAAATGATGTAATTATAACCACAGATAAACAAGAGCATGACTTATTATACCACATCATTATTTATTTAACAAAATCTAAGCCAAATATGAGAAACAGTGCATGAAAAACTACAGTAAGTACACTGAATGTTTCAATAGCTTAGAGTACCACATTTAGCAGAACTAACTTCTGTATGACTTTATTAGTCTCTCACATCGCTGTGGAGCAATTTTCGCCTACTCTTCTTTCAAACCTCGCTTCAGTTCATTGTGGTTTGTGGGCAGGTTTATTTGCGTACAGCTCTCACCACAGCATTTAAGTCAGGTTGAGATCTGGTCTTTAACTAGGTCATTGCAGTAGCTTTATTCTTTTCTTTTTCAGCCATTCTTTTGTAGATTCGCTGCTTTTCTTGGCATCACTGTCCTGTTGCACGACCCAGTTTCAGCCAAGCTTCAGCTGTCAGACAGACAGCCTTACATTTGACTCTAGAGTACTTTGGTATACAGAGGGGTTCATGCTTTACTCAATAAGTGCATGTTGTCGAGGTCCTGTGGCTGCAAAACAAACCTAAGTCATCACCCCTCCACCACTGTGCTCCACCATTGGTGTGAGGTGTTTATGCAGATATGCTGTGTTTGGTTGTCTCCAAATGTGTTGCTGTGCTTTAAAAACAAACATCTGTACCAGAGTTCTTGTGGTTTATTCAGATACAACTTTGCAAACCTAAGTTGTGCTGACATGTTCTTTAAAACAACACAAATTCAGTTTTTTTTATTTTAACTCATGTAATTGTATTTATTCTTAACCAAAGATATACAGAAACACTGGGAATATGTTTATCTAACTAAAATGTAACAGTTTTGATTTGGGTTAAAACGCCCCAAAAATAGTAAACGGTGTACCACAAGGCTCTATGTTAGAGCCTCTTCTGTTTTCAGTTGTTCCATACTTTGTTCTTTATATACATGCATTCATGAACCTTTTATAGAAGACTTTTCTTCTAACTAAGAATTTATTTATAACTAAGAAGAAAAAGGTTCAGTATACAGCTCCAGCTTATATTAAGCTTCCAGTAAAATAACATAAAATAAGCATTACGCAGGAGAAAATTATGTTATTTGATCAATATTTGAACAAATATTTGTAAGTAAGGGAAAACCTTACCTTCTGTCCTCCATACATGCCCTCTGTTGCTATGGGAGCGATGTAGCTGACCCTCTTGTCCTCATCTATTATCTTCACAGCGACATCTCTGTAGCTGCTGCGATGGCGTGCTTGGAAAGGCACAACCACAGTAAGGGGGAAATTAAAGGCTGCTCCATGTTCAACTTTGACCCGGATCACTCTGCTAAGCAACTCCTCTGAGCCAGTCACTATCAGGCAGCTCAGGGCATCAGCCACTTCACACCTCAGGACTTCAGCTGCACCTGCAGGCGCTCTGATAAAGCACGCGTCCGGTACATCAGAATGGCTGCCCTCCAGCTGAGCAGTGAGCCTAAATGATGTTTTTAAAAACACATAAATGCATATTTTTAGAAAACGATTCATGATTGAAATAAAGTTTGACTGTTTGTTTCTTCCTTTTATTTTTATTTATTTATATTTTTTGCATGCTTGCATTTGCTCTTAATGCTTTTAAGTAGAAATATTATTATCTTGATTTTTTTTTCAAGTGCAAACATATTAAGACTTGCTGAAATGCCGGAGCATGCACTTTCCATATCAGCTCTCTCCAGACTTAGCCTCTCTCTCGGATCTTAATGTTCCCGATTTTTTTGGCTTTTAGATGTATGTGTGCAGTGGCCTGACAGTGAACTGTGCGAAACAGCTGGCTGTGTGGAGGCCAGGAGGTCAAAAATGTGTGCGACTTGTGATAAAGTATCAGTGAGCAGGAGAAATGAGTGGAAGGAAATCATGTCCAGACTTGCAATCATCCCAATGGAGGGCACAGAACAAAATGCTCAACATCTTTTTGTTTTCATTTTTGTTTTAGGCGTGTGGATTACTGATGTTACCAGGATGTTGTCAGCAAGTGGAAGAAAGTGTTGACTACTTTCTTTGTTTACAACAAACGTAAAATGATGTGCTACCTCACGAACCGTGTGTAAACTGACACGGAAGAAGTTTCGATTTCATTATGCTTGAATAGCCTCATCAAAAAAACACAAAACTGACTGCGAACATCATAGAGCTTTAAGCAAAAGACCACAAACATGCAAGATGTTGCATATTACACTGACAGGAAGTGTGGGTTAAACATAAATACTTATGTGTTAAGAGTTTAAGTACGGTGAGCTGTGATGATTTAGTCAGCTTACCCTACAGTAATCCATTTTCTTTTTCTCTTTGCGCTCTCATCTTCCTTTTCAGTCTCCTCTAGTAACTCAGTCTCAGAGTTAACAGATTCCTCCAGAACGTCTCTTGCTTGACCTTTGACATGTGATTCTGCCCCGTTGTCACAATTAGAACCACCGAATGAGTCCAGTGCTTGTTCAGTGTCTGCCGATGTCTCTGTACGCCTTCGATCAGCTCCGTCCTCAATCACCCGTTCGTGACCTGAGTCAGACTCGAGCCGATCGGGGGAGTTTAGGTGATTCTTAACGTCTTCAGGTTGCGCCGAAGTGTCTGTGTCTCTGGATTCTCGACGCGCTTCACCCGCGATCGAGGTCTTATCTACAGATAACTGCTGAATCGCTGCATCCAGCTTGATAATGATGGAGCTTATTTTGTCGATGATCTTCTCTACGTCCTCTCCAACACTCAGGAAAATGTCACTGACGGAGCCCAAACAGGGCCTGCATCCTGTATCCTCTGAAAAAAAATTTAAACCTTTACTTGAGTTTTTAAATTAGTTACACTTTGTTACACACCCATCACTGAAAGCCTGCATGTTTTTATGTCATTTCTTTAAATAGTCGTCGGGAATAGTTCTCCAGACTTCCTGAAGGACATTCAAAGCTCTTCTTTGGATGTTTCTGCCTTTTTTTCTATTCTCTGTGTAGATGATCCCGCACACTTCAATATTGTTATCCATGACTGATAATGCTCCACTGTGTGTTTTTCCATCCAGGTATATTTTTTCAGCATTGGCAGTGTGTTTGGGATCATTGTCATATTGAAAAATGAACCTGCTGCCAATCAGATGCTTTCCAGATTGTGTTACATGGTGGATAAAAATCTGATGGGACTTTTAAAATCAAATTATGTGTTGCTGCAACAATCTACTAGTAACAAAGTGCCTAAAGATTGAAAGTTTTTCTGTTATGTGTAGACACAACGATGTCTTTGTACTTGAATGGTTCATAGGTTCGTTCTTTCCTCTGAAAATGGTCAGGTACAAGGACTGGACTGAAAAATAGTATAAAAAAGGACCCAGAGTCCAAATAGACACTTTGAAAGAACCTTCAGAGACCCTGGAGAGCTTGAGGGGGATATGAAGGTGGAGGTGTGCAACTTTGAGAGTGAAATTTAATAAATGAAAATAAATACATTGTTACTTCTGAGGCTCTGAGAATTCCACAATTTAATTTTCTATTTGAAGTTTATTTTGTGGTCAGAGATGAGAAGTAACTTTTTTATTTTGTGGCATCTGTACTTTTACTTCCTACGTGTTTAAACAAATGTCTGTACTTTCTCCTCTTACACTTTCAAAGCAGACTCATTACTTTTGGTTTATCTATAAGTTTGTCTATAGGGTTTATTTCAGGGGTTAAAGTGGGCGGGAAGGACTGAATGTATCCGTTAGTTGTGGTTGTGGTACTTAAGCATTTAGCTAGCGCTACAGAAAAGGAGGAAGCATGAAGAGAGTGCTATTTTAAGTGGCAGGCCATTTCAAATACATTTTTTCTATCAGCTCAACAAACTTCAGGAAACACACAAACTGTTTGTGTGCAGGTTGTCGTACACTGCTTCTGCGAGCTAAAGCTCCAGCTGCTGTATTTCGCAGGGGGATAAAAGAGTGAGAGCTAACTTCACAGAGATGGAGGAAGATAAAAAAGACAGGACAGGAGAAGAAGAAGAGAGAGTAGATTTAAAGGTAAGGACAGCTCAGTGGTGTTTGATAAACTCCAGATGTATGATGTCATAATTTGAATTGAATCTGTATATGATGTTTTGATAAATGATGCATTTTTTTTTTTTGTCGTGAAATATCCTAAAAAACAAACAAACTTTTTGATACTCAAAGGTTGCATGAAAATACTGAGCAGCTCAGGATAAACAGGTTAGCTTGCATCAATGTGGTGAATTCCCATTGTGTTGAACTGGTGCACAGTGGCTGTGGTGGTCATAGTCAGATTTAGGTTATATCAAGTGTTGCAGAGATGAATTTGCATTTACGCAGATGATGCTTAGATTCATTCACTGAATTCCAACTTTATACCAACTGCATATAAAGTATAGAGAGTATAGTATCAGTGATATGGGACAGCTGTGAAGCAAGCAGCAGGTCAGCTGATCACACTAAGAAAATCTACTGAAGTTCATATTAGAAAGTATTGTGAGTTGTGATTCTTTTCCCTATGCTGAGCCACTACACAGATTTAGTGCTCCTCCACCTGCTAAATCGCACTTTCACCCCTCACTGTTCTCAGTGTACTGTTTAGCAATGGAGGCAAAGTCTCCCTCTACAATGTTGGCAACAGAAAATAGTTATTTGTTTAAATTTTCTGTCACTGATTGTGTCCTAGATAACAGATTCAAGCTGAGTACATTCATTAAAACTACAGATTGGGATAATGTTTGTATTCTTGTACACTAATATTATTTTATTATTATATTAACACAGACAAGGTTTAGTTACCTCTGTACAAGAATGGTTAGAATCGTCCTCCAATGATCTACTTTTACTTTCTTACTTTGAGTACATTTCTGAGCCTGTACTTTTTTACTTTTACTTGAGTAATGACATTGAATCAGTACTTCAGCATTTACTGGAGTATTTTTAAACACAGGTATCTGTACTTCTACTTAAGTAAAGAACATCTGTACTTTTGCCACCTCTGCCTGTCGTAGATGGATGCTGCTGAGCTCCACCCCCTGGTGGAGAGCTGCTGAGCGTGGAGGAACATCGTCTGAGGGCTTGTTTCCATGCTCTGAGTCTGCATGAATGAAAAACACTGACTTCCCTCAGCACTCCCAGAGCTCTCTTTTTGCAGTCTCCCTCCTGCTGCTCTTTACTCCTTCGTCTTCTTTCATCCTCCCTCTCATCTTCTCCTTCTTCCATCCTCCCACCCATTGCTGTATCGAGATGATCTCCGCAGCATTGGACACCTTCAAGCTCCTGAACAGTTTCAGCCAATGCAATGAGGAGTCTGTCCTCGCTTGTGCAGTCAGGAGGCTTTTGTCCTTCCATGAGTTTGTCTGCATGCAGATTCGTATCCACGCTGGACTGCAAAATGCAAAAAAGCTGAGAGTCAGAAGTATCTGCTCAGGCTTTTCTTCGGGCCTTTTACTTTTTCAGTCCATCTTGCATTTGGCAAAATCTTTTCCCTGCTTTTACACAATTCAGCTGATAAGCGTCAAATGCTGATTAAAAGAGGATTTCAGTTCTTGTGTACCTCCTTTTATGTTCGAAGCCGAAGCCCTGCTGGGTTGCTGTGTCCTTGGCAGTGAGCATTACTGCGTCCGGCTATCCCAGTTTACAGGCGCCAAGGCTGCATTTATCTGGCTGCCAGCAGTAAAACATGTTGCCAAGGCGACCCCTGGAGGCGTGGAAGGGAGAGACAAAAGAGGAGATTCACAGGAAGGCAGAGAGCTCTGTGCATCTCACGTCTGACGGTCTCCTGTCACTCATTTCACTGCTTGCATATCCGGCCAGTTAAAAAACGTCACACGGAGCCGGGAATCATTCAAAAGCACAGCAGGAAGTTACTGGAGTTCTCCCCTGTTGGTTTGAATGCATTCACATTCATAAATCATTTGTTTTCCTACCGCCACAAGCGTTGCTACAATGCATTAGAATTTTGGGCAGCACCTAAACTATTTACAGGAGAAAAAGGTGGAGACAAACACAACCACAGAGTCATTTTGTGGGTTTCCTGTGTGGAACTTATGATGTTACTTTGACATCAGTATTAAAACAAGTTTCTTGATCCTTATTTGGAATTAAAAGAATACTCAGCATCACTGTAAGAATGGGTTGGCATTCAATTCTAATCATGTTAACATAAAATAAACGAGTCCTATCAAAGTCATTTGATCTTGTACTGCTATAATGTTCAAAGGCATTGCACTCAGCATGCATTCAGTCCTAATCTAACAAAAGAAATCACAGGGTATATCCTGGACAGGAGCTGGGAATCACCTCTTAACCTAACATTCCAAGTCTTAGGAAGGTGGTGGCAACGTGAAAGCATTTAAAATTTTCACGTCATTCTATAATAGATGTTACTAATAATAAATGACTATTATTCATCGTGTTGTTTAGAGCTGTGCCTTACCTGTTGCCGGGTCAGGCGTCCTCAGAGGCAGGCCGCAGTAATGTAGCACTGTGTCGCCATCATGTGGCCGATGCCACAAACTGCACGCATTTCCCTCCTATTAAGATCTTCATTACTTTAAATAAATAAATAAAAAGCCCAGAATTTATAAAAAAAACAAAGGAAAACATGAAAATGAAAATTATCTGAAAATTGTAAAGAAAAGAAAAGAAAAAGTAAAAGTGAAAGTAAATACATTTATTTATTTTTGAAACTTTATCTTTTCTTCTTAACTTTATCTTATAAGGGATTTTTAAACGTCATCATTAATCATGTTTTCTTGTAGTTTTTATACTTGAATGAAAATAAGCCGGAGCTTCGTTATTATTATTATTTTATCATCTATGTTGTTTTAAGTGAACGTGTTGGCAGCCAGCTTGCATTCCTGCCAGTTTTGAATGCATATCCCGGGGCTCCGGGATCAAGCCGGGACATGCAAGTATTCACAACAAATACCTCTCAAGTCCCTCCACTTTGTATTCTTCCTCTTTATTTTTTTTATGTGCCTCAGTTTCAACTTCTTAAAAAAAGAAATGAGAAAAACTCGGTGACAGTTTAGTAATAAGCAGAGAGCAGCAGCCGATCATTAACACGATCGGAGCCTGCGGTGTTCAGTTTTACGAGCGGTCTGAGCGGAGGGAAGGTCACTGCTTGTTGGCAGTGTACTCGTGAAATGGGCGTGGAGTTGCGCTCAACAGTCGGAAACAGTTGAGTGTGTAAAACCAAGAAAGAAAGAAAAACTAAAGAAAAACAAAAGGAGTCAACAGAGACTCAGAGAGGCGCTAATATGAGAGAAAGCGGACGCAGCCGGTGCGCTAAGGTGAGCAGCTTTCCTCCTCTTTGTAAAGCAGAGCGGTTAGTGTACAGTGTTGCGTTTACGGTTAGAAAAAAAGAAAAACCCAGAAACGTGGGAACCGAACTGAAAATAAATAAATAAACAAACAAAGTCCGTTTTAGTTTTTAATGCGCTCCCACAGGAAGTGTGGGTACAGATTTATACATGTTGCACTGCGTGTAACGAGAAGGCGGACTGCCTCGCTCAGACCTGACGTGTTGCGTTATGTCGTAGTGGTGTGTAACGCACCTTGTGCGTGCGTGCGTGCGTGTGTGTCACAAAAAAAGTCCTGAAAGTGTCGACACGTAGTCGCACGTGCGAGCCTCCGGTACCGCTCGCGCTCAGTGAAAGCATACTCCCGGCTCTTAACCTAAACGAAATTCCTCATATGTGGCTCTTATTTTTCTTAGAAACAAAAATAAGGTAAAAAATAAATCTGGTAATTCTTTCTTTTACATTCATCAGGTCCCAATCAGCCCAAATATCAAAGAGAAATTAAAAATGAATGCCGTGGAAGAGTTCGGGTCTTAGGAGGTTAATACGGACAGCTGAGTGTTACATTTTACTAGCTTTATCTTCGTCTACTAAAAAACCAAAAAACACACCGCTGAAACAGTGAAGGTGACAGCAGAGGCTGGTTAAAACATGGTAAAGGTTTGTGGGTATTTTCTGTGTGAAAACAGGAAGGGTTTGAGATTTTGGACGATGATTTGGACTTTGTTCAAAGTGGGCTGGCTGAGAGGATGTGCACATATTATGAGGTAGGTTGTGTGTGCATGCATGGGCGTGCGTCCTCTCTGACTCACTGCCTGCACTGTATAACCATACCTGTGGTGTGGGTGAAGTTGCTGGCTTGTGGGTGACACACACACCCACACAGACATACAACCATCTTGTGTTGGCAGCCATTTATTTTGTAGACACCCCCGCAAAAAAGTATAACTCTATTATGTCTACACAGCTTCGTGTGCCTTTGTGGCATGTGTGAGCTGTTTGTCTGTCTGCTGAACTTCTCCTTTTTTTTTGCCCTTTGCTATTGATCTGCACACCCTGATCTAACGTTCCACACTCCGGGCAGCAGCTGTGGATCAAAACTCCCATATCCTGCCTGTAATAATGTTTGCTTGCTTAACTGCGTGTGTGTGTGCCTTTTTATAGGTTGAAGTTTGTGTGTGGATGTGGAGCAGGTCAGGTTAAATGTGCTGGCAAGCTTCACAGAGTGCGAGCCACTGCAGATCCCTGGGTGGTGCTGAGGCTTCCCAGTCCTCAGAAGGGCTACTCCACAGACTCTATCAATCCCCGTTATGAGGACAATACAGTCAAATATGATGTGGGACTGTGGAACAGTGGACTGCGTCACTGCCTGCATCTTCTCTGCTGATATCACACCAGAGGCTCATATCCCTCTCGTGATAAAAGCGATAAGAGAATCAGTTTCCGTTTGTGTTAATTTCATCAGCGTCTTGTTTTATAAATGACAAACACATGCAGTAACACCC